GTGACCACCTCCTAGTTACCCATTCAGCTATGAACTCCTCAGTCGATGAGCCCGATGATGAAGTAAACACCCTAAGGATCCACCCACCTGTCAACTGAGCCACCATCTTAGGGACAAGCCTTCGACATACGAGCCTGTAGGGGGCTATATTAATCACTCTTCTTGTTGCTATGGCCAAAGAACTGACAAGAAGCAATTTTTAAAAAAATGGTTTATTTGGGCTTACAATTTGGAGGTGGTATTGGCGACAGGGGAGTGAGTAGGTAGTCATATTATATTGCAATCAGGAAGCAAAAAACACAGAGGAAATGGGGCTAGACTACAAAACTTTAAGGCCCAACCCCAGGGGACCATTTCCCTCAATGAAGCTGTGTCCCATAAAGGATGCCAGAACTTTGCAAAATGATGCCACCAGCTGGGAACCAACTGTTCAAGCACATGAGACTCTGGGGGACATTTCAAATTCAAGTCACAACAGGGAGACGCTGTCATACCCAAAAAGCAACAGTCAACAAAACTGTATTATTCCCTTAAATACTAAGAGAGAGGCTCTCACATAAAGTGTACTCACCACAAGAATGTAAAGTACATTAAAAATGTTACGTCACTCTCTGCTGTCAGGCCTGCTGGTACTTGTCCCCCACCACTCCCGATCCCTACTTCTTCCTGTCCTCTTGATAGCTTCCTGTCTTTGGTATCAAAAGGTATGTGGAACAACAGTGACCACAAGAGGTAGGCAAAAACACGGGTGGATTGTGGAAACAAAAGAATAAAGAATTAGCTACTGGTCATAACTGGGGCATCCTTGTGGCAAACAATCTTTTTTTTCCAGGTTTGTAGATCCATGACCAAGGGTAGACAGTCCAAAGAACATAACTTAATGAAGGGTAATGACCACATGGAACTCACGGGCATCTTGACAGGAGCTTTTAGGTTATTGTAGCATTTCAGTTTCCAAGAAAAACTTCACCCTGCCAGATCACCCACTGGCCATTCATTGCTGATTTTCACATCCATTTATATTAACATCCTTCTCCATGGAATACTACCTTAGCAGTATGGATCTATGGCCAGGAGTGCCATTTGGAAAACCCAAACCATACCTTATTTTCTCCACAAAGATAGACCATTTGCCCTGCGAGGTGGGCTTGTGCACTAGGTTCTTCCAGAATGTCTGAATAGCTTGGAGTATTGCTGTTCCACTGCCTCCTGAAAGTGGAGTATACAGGAAGTGTCAAGTTGGTTGGTATTTTGGGATCTCCCTAGTTCTTCTGGGATAGGGCACCAGTGAATGCTCCTGTATCCTGAGCCTTTATCTCTGCTTCTGAGCTCAGCCATGGGGCTCAGCAGTCAACAAGGCAGCCCCTTCTTGCACGCATATGTGTATGCCTGGGTATCTACTTAGAACACCCTCCAGGTAGATCCTGGCCCAGACCCTGACAATCCAGAAGCAAGGATGAGGTCCTGCCATAGGTGCATATGAACAGGTCAGAGCTGTGCCCAGGGAGGATATGACATGGTGGAACCCTGCCAACTGCAGCAGATGAATGTGATGGAGTACCTGCCAGAGAGAGCGATCAGGTCTGAATCTTTCACTCCAGCTAGTTTCCAAGGGTCTGGGAGAGCTGAGCAAGGGGGAGCCCAGACAAAGTGTACAACATTACATTGGCCCAGATACAGTAAGTGTTCCTATGTTGGAAACTAGCCTGAAGCATCTTGATGAACACACCCCATGAATGACATGGATTGAAAAGGTAGAGTCACATTCTGGAGTTCTCCTTCCAGGTGAAGGTGTTGGGTAGGTACAGGCAAGCTCACCTACACAGAGTTCAAAGGCTGAAGAGAGAGGTTCGCTTCTCAAGTCTTCTCCTTTATCTCCTTTATCAATTGAGCCCTAGAGTAAAGAACATAGACCTGGAGTCAGAGGGCTTAAGCTTGAGTCCTGACCTTGGGTACTGTTGATCAGTTTGCTTTAAAATGGAGATAAGGGGTTGGGGATTTAGCTCAGTGGTAGAGTGCTTGCCTAGCAAGCGCAAGGCTGGGTTCGATCCTCAGTTCCAAGTAAATAAATAAATAAGTAAAATGGAGATGATATGAGGACTATATTCAGGGGTGGTGTGATAAGACCACATAAATCCTGTGATGCTTATAATTCTGGACTTGGTTGCTACTGGGCTATAAACACCCCTAGACATAGAGAGATGAGGGGAGAGAAGCATGGGTTGCCAAGGTTGGGGCAAGAACCTAATAGCATCTGTCCTCAGGAGGAGAGAAACAGCCTTCCTTCCAGGAGCACAAACCCAAGAGCCAAATTAGAGAAGCCCAGGGCAGTAGACCCCCTATCTTTGATTCCCCCTGCTCCTTCAGCAGCCCTACTGTGGTCCTCATCCACCGGCACCCCACTGAAGTCGATAAAGCTGCCCATCTTCATTCACATGTCTACACAGGCCAGTGTCCAGGGACAAGGTAGAGCAGCTCTGAAAGGCCTGATGGGAGACATCTGGGAGGAGTGACAGCCATCGAGCCTCTGGCAGTTCTCCACAGGAGTGCTGGGATACAGGCAGGCAGGCTGCTTGTCCGAATTTTATGTGAGTTCTGGGGGTTCAAACTCAGGCCATCACACTTCCACGGCAAGCACTGTACTCACTGAGCCGCGTCCCCAATCATCTCTTTCTTAATTTTAACTCAGGCCCCCAGATAGATTGAATTCCTTCTCTCTGGTCCTCAGAACACCTGCACGCACAGTCCTCTGTGTAAAAAGAGAAAAGGGGGAGAGAGAGCTTAGATGAAAAGAAATCGGAATATACATTAAGAAAATTGGCACAAGAAGAAATCCTTCTTGAAAATTTTTAACATTTTTCCCTCGAGAAGAAAGCCAAACCATAAAGCAAAACACACTCAGCTGTTAACAAACAAAGAGCTCACATATCTAACATGTGGGGTTTTTTTCCAAGACAAACTAACATTTTGCTCTGTTGGCTTTCCCTAATGCACGCATTTTATTTTGCCCAAATCCTCATTATGGGCAAAATTTACATATCCCTCTCTCGGCGGCCCCAGGGTTTCCTTGGGTAGTGAAGTATGCGCTTGGTGGTTTCCGAAGCACTGGCTGTTTCATTTTGCCCACCACAGCAGATCTTTACAAATGACATTTTCCAGGCATCATTCAGCCTCTAAACCACGCTGGTGAGTTAGATGACATAGAATCCTCGCTGCCCACAGAGTGTCTCCTGGCCTTGACCACTGTCATCACCTACTCTTTCTGCAGCCAGCCACGACTGTGCCCCTGGAGGCGGGACAAATGAGAGATGCCTGGACCTTGATTGTGTTTATTAGGAACCAACAGCAAATCCCTACAGACCTACCGTCTGTGGATGCCTGTTCATTTGTTCTCATTAAACTGCTCTCTAGGCTGTTGCTATGTTTGGAACAATATCGAACTCTGTGGGAAGATCGGGGCTTGGCTTGGGGTCAGGCCTCAGTTTGGGGTCAGGCCTCCCACTGTGGCTGCCACATTCTGGCCCCAGGAGCCAGATCAGCAACATAGAAGTTTGTTCTTGGGCTTCTAGAGTCAAGCACTAACGTCTTCTGCCCTGGGGTCACTTACTGCCTTGACCCCACCCTTTCCGGTTACATGGTCCCTCCAACCCAGCCCTACGTGGGCCCCAGGCATGTTGTGGTCTTTTCCTAAGTATTTTAGCTGATTGAAAAAAACCACAGGAGAGGTATCACAGAATCATATAGCTTAAAACCAATATATACATGGAATTTTCTACTCTGACCACCTATATATTAGATGAAATTTTGATCCCTGGAATACATTAGTGGCCTACTAGCAGTAAAGGTGACATTGAAATTGAGGGCAGAACTGGAAAGAGAAACCATGACTTTCTTATTTTAATTTATGTTTATTTTATTTATTACTCTCTCAGTTGCTAAGCATATGTTCTACCTCTGTATATGCTACATGCCCAGCCCTAGAATCCACAGTGTCATTGACTGACTTGTGGTGGTTGAATCTAATTGACATGTCTGCTCTTCCCATGGTGGCCAGATGACCCTTTGGTCTCTCCAGAGTTCTAACTTGTTTCTAGCAACATCCTAATTGGGCCGTTGAGAAGTTGTCTTTGGAGTGGTCCAATGGCACCTTGGCTGGGGTGTTGTGATTCTACAGTGTGGTAACTTGAGCTGCCTCCTGTGGATGTCTGTTGCTTATAATGGAGAAAACTGGCAGCATTTCCGATCCTCTTCTGATTCTTCCTTGGTGGAGCAATAACGCACAGGCCAGGATGAGTCCTAGCAACTTGATATCCAGGCTGTAAAATTCCCTTTTCTTCCTTAGCAAGTTCCTAAATAGAATGAACCCGAAGGGTCCAGAAAGACGGTCAAGTATGCATTTTATTTGTTCCTTTTACCAGCCTGTTAGTTGGGGACAGTGTTATGATATGATAAATAATATTCACACATGGGAGATTGCATGGTGATTTTCTAGAGTTCATGGGATTCTAATTAATGCCATGTAAAATATTATGGGGTGGCAGGGTAGCTCAGTGAATAGAAGTGTTTGCTGTGCAAGCCTGGTGACCTTACTTCAATCCCCAGAAACCATAGAAAGCTGGCAGGCAAGAAGCGACACCAAAGTGTCCTCTAACTACCACACTCACTCACTGTGGCAATGTGTGCCCTGACAAACACATCCTACACATCCTATATACACACTAATAAAGACATAAAAGAAAGATATGGTGGAATTATGAATGTGTGCATTTGCCTCTGGTCGTGATGGAGTTAACCTTTTTGCTGCTTAGGGAGTCACATTTTCACTTGTGTCATGTTCATGTATAGAGGGTGTGCTTCCTTCACTGAGACTGGACTTCAGCTCACTGAGTGAGGGGTCCCTTAATTTGATGAACAGATCATGTGTCTTCCTTCCAGGCAAAGTATAAATCCAGCACAGTGGCTGTGCATGCACTCAAATCTTACTCCCTCTTGTCTTGCAGGCTCTGTGGCTACCCTCCTTTTTACGATGAAAATGACTCGAAGCTGTTTGAACAGATCCTCAAGGCAGAATATGAGTTTGATTCCCCCTACTGGGATGACATCTCCGACTCTGGTGGGTCTCTCATGGCATTTACATCCAGATGACCTAACATAGTAAGCCCAAGGACTCTGGGGCTCAGACTGGTCCTGAGGCTTCTGTCTTCTACTGGGGTTTCTGCAACACAATACCACAGTCTGTGTGGCTTAAATACCAAACATTTATTTTGCACAATTCTGAAGGAGGAAGTAACACCGGTTACTTCCTAATTCATAGGCAGTTGTCTTCTTGGTGTGTTTGCACACAAATGGGGGTAGGACAAGGTTTTCTGGGTCTCTTTCATGAGAACACTGATGTCTTTCCTGAGAGCCCTGCCTGCATGTCTTGATCACCTCCCAAAGGGCTACTTCAGAGGCCTTCATCACGGGAATTAGGATCTCAACAAAGGAATTGTGTTGTACACCAACATTCAGTCTATGGTTACCCCTGAGAAAGCTTTATGAGCTACGTCTTTGGGGTTGACTTGGAGAACAGGCTTGAGATATATAACCCTGGCCAAGGGATGCAAACTTGCTCATCTACCTTTCCCTGATATGGGTGCTCTAGAAATGAAATATTATCATCTAGGATTTGATGAATACCAACTAGGTGCTGAGTGCTAGAAGTTGTAGACATTCGCTAACTCACCCAGTCCTCAGGATGACCCACTAGATGTGTATGTATATTATCCATGTGTGACTGGTGATGAGGCTGAAGCCCCAGGGGGTAAAATAACCTGGCCTAGTTTATGGAATCAATACAGAGCAGAACTGGGATCTGAAACCTCCATTTTCCCGAAGCCCACCTTTTATGACAAGATTGTATTTGTGAAGTCACATATCCTCAGCAAGACATTCTTGCATTGAGCAGTCATGGTTTGTGTGATGGAGGTTTCTTGGCTGAGGTCATGATTTTATTGTCTGGAGCTCATGTTTGAACCACAGTACACCACACTGAAATCCTCCCAGAGAAGCTCATCATCCTTTCCAGAGGGTAAAGAGCAAAAACAAGCCCAGGTGAAGAGGGGCAGAACCGTAGAAGGAAGAAGGGAGGTGAATGGCACTCTCTGTTGAGCCGCTCACACAGCTGGACCATTTTTATTATTTATGTTATTTACTCCTAATTGGGAGCCCCTTGCCTGTTTCCTCAACCAGCCTCAACCATCTTAAGTTGCTGAAACAGACCTCACAGGGAATACTGGACTTCAGAGCTTAGAAACCAGGGGCTTTTTCCAGAAGTTCAGATCTGTGGACAGCAAGCCGCTGTGCCCTGTAGGGCAACGGATTCCAAGCTGGCATACAGTATTAGCTTTGGGTTCTATGGCCCCCTGTCCCTCCCAGTCTCAGTGTCCTACTCTGAGCTTTGCCCTGTCCGTGGTGACCAAGCCCTCTCTACCACACCAGGATACATCTTGCTGCATCTTGGTAACATCTCACTCACTGAGTAGTAACAGCTCAAGTGCGATGCAGATGCTCCTCTGGGGTGTCCCGCCACACCTGCCCCCACGACCTGTTGGCTTTGCAGCTAGCTCTTCAGTGGGTTTAGGAGAACCAGTAATATCTATAGCACATTCAGGGGACATCCCCAAAGCATGTCTCTAAGGCAATGGTGAACTGAAGAGCGTATGACTATGAAGATTATTCCCTTTATTCTCTAGACCAAAGGCATCATTAGTAGCTATCAAAAAAGAACTTCGAGCTGGAAGTCAGGGTCCCAGCCTGGCTCTGTCACCTTTTCATTCACTGGCTCTCTCTTGGAGTGCCAGCCATGCCTCTGCTTTTATCTAAACACTGGTGTCCTTTGGGCTCAAGGGACAATAGCGAAGGTGAGAAGCTGGTCTCACATTTTTAATGGTACACATATTTAAAACACAAGGGTATCCTGTCATCGCATTTCAACCCTCAAAGTGACCTTGTTCCCTATGCTTTCTTTTTGAACAGCAAAAGACTTCATTCGGAATCTGATGGAGAAAGACCCAAATAAAAGATACACATGTGAGCAGGCCGCTCGGCATCCATGGTAAGAAAGATCACCTTTGGGAAGACCATGCCATCCCACACCCTCCAGAGTCGACTTTTCCCTGGCTCCCCTTATTCATGAAAACCCTCAGGTGGTCGCTTCACCTCATCCTGGCAGGGGCTTTCCTCATCTCCTAAGCCAGTGTTTGTACTTTTTGGTGCCCTCAGGATGCAGATTTTGAATACACTCAGAAGTTAAGTGTCTATAAGATAGCAGGTCGCTTTTCATCTTACAGATGGGTCTGAGGAAAACACCCAATGAGGCATTAAGATTGACTCCTTGGCAGTAGTTTATATATATATATATATATATATATATATATATATATATATATATATATATATATATAGAGAGAGAGAGAGAGAGAGAGAGAGATACAGATATAGATATAGATATAGATATTCTTTTTCAGGTGATTTTTTTCAATTAGTGTTTCTTTAACTCTAAAGGGACTCACTGATGCTTTATGGCAATCCACACATTATCAGTGTTGTGTTTATGTCATGAGGTTGGAACCTGTCTTAGTTGGTTTTTTTTATTGCTGTGAAGAGACACCATGACCACAGCAACTCTTACAAATAAAAGCATTTAATTGAGGTGGCTCACTTACAGCTTCAGAGGTTCAGTCATCAGAATGGGGAGCATGGTGGCATTCAGGCCAATGTCGCGCTGGAGCCATGAATCCTACATCTTGACTCAGAGGCAACAGGAAGTGGACTCGATCACTGGGTGTAGCTTGAGTATAGGAGACTTCAAAGCCCACCCCCACAGAGACACGCTTCCTCCAATAAGGCCACACCTACTCCAACAAGGACACACCTCCTAATAGCGCTGATCCCTATAAGATTATGGGGGCCAAATATATTCAAACTGCCACAGAACCCAAATTCACTGACAATTAAGTGTGACTTGGGTTTACACTTGGCTTGCTAAGTCTCAGCTTTCTCACCTTTTTTTTTTTTTTTTTTTTTTTTTTTGGTTTTTTCGAGACAGGGTTTCTCTGTGTAGCTTTGCGCCTTTCCTGGGACTCACTTGGTAGCCCAGGCTGGCCTCGAACTCACAGAGATCCGCCTGCCTCTGCCTCCCGAGTGCTGGGATTAAAGGCGTGCGCCACCACCGCCCGGCCCAGCTTTCTCACTTTTAACAGCAATAGTTCTAATTTACTAAGTTAGGGTAAGACATAGCGGAGCTAGTGTACATAAAAGAGAGTCACACAACATCCAGGCAGAGCAAATGTCTGTTTGTTACAGACCCATGAGCATCCACTTTGAAACAAGTACCCAAGAGTAGAAAAAGATATTCAGTGGGTTAGTCAGATTTCTGTTACTATAACAAAATACCTGAGCTGGTGAACTTAAAAAGACAACAGTTTTCTTTTTGGCTCACAGTTTTGAAGGTTTCAGCTGGTGCTGTTATGGTGGAGCCTTTGGCAAGCAGAGGGGATCCATGGTGGATCAAGAAACCCACCTCATGGTAGCCAGGAAACAAGATAAAGAGATCAGTTTGCCATAGTTCCATTCAAGGGCACCCCATGACCTAAAGCTCTCCCAGGAGGCCCTCCCTCATAAAGATTTTCACCACCTCCCAAGAATGACAAGCTAAGGACTAAACTTTTAGTAGTTACCTTTGAACATATTTAATACATAAACTAGAGCACCCAGTATAATGAACATAGGGGCAATGAGGTGTAGCTGAGTTGTAGATCCCTTGCCTAGTATGTACAAGACTTTGGATTTCACCCCCCAGCATACCTGTGCGCACACATGGACACACACACACACACACACACACACACACACACACACACACACACACAGAGAACATTGAATTATTCAGGAGAAAGTTCCCATAAGAAGCACCACAGGAAACTGTTCTGTGTTTGGCCTGTCATCTTCTAAAGCATCCCCTCCAAGCTGTTAACCCCCTTCAGGGGACCCTCTTAGAGGCAGTGTCATAACCCAGCTTCACAGTACTCTAATGTGTCACTCCTGCCCTGATCCTGGTTGAGTCTCCTCTGTGTTCCAGGAACTCTGCCGATTGCTTTAAAGTATTCACTCTTTTTTTCCTCTCAGTAACCCTGGGAGGTTGGTTTTCTGTTCACTCCAGAGATAAGGAAATAGGAACTGAGTAAAGACACCACAGCCAGCTAATAGCAAAGCCAGGGCTCCAGCCAGAAAGGTCTGGCTCCACAGTGAACGCTCTTCTTTGTATAAAGAAGGGCGGCAGCAGAGGTTGGGGAAGCAAGGGAAGCACTTCCTGGAAAAGTGGACAGTTCTGATTGTAAGTCATTGAGATCTTTCTTCGTAACCTCAGAGAATGGTGCACATGGTGTCAGCACAGGAAAGTTTTTCTTCCTTCCCACAAATAGGCCTTTAAAGGCCTCAGACTTTTGAGATTATCGTCTAGAGAGAAGTGTCTGGCTTCCTCAAGCTTGTCCAATAATTGAGCCCCACCCTGTAGGAAGTGAGAAGAAGGCAGATTAAAGTCTGCCCTCTCTCTCTCTATTGTTAATTATGTGTATGTGTGTGGACCTGCATATGGGTGGATGTGTATGAGTTCAGGTGCCCATGGCAACCAGAAGAGGACATTAGATCCCCATGGTGCTGGAATTACAGGCAGTTGTGAACCAACTGATTTGAGTGCTAGGAATTGAATCTGGGTCCTTTGCAGGAGCAATGTGAGCTCTTAACTACTGAACCATCTCTCCAGCCCTTTAAAGACAGTTTTACTAGCATATATTAATTATATATAAGAATAGGTTTCATTATGGTGTTTCATATGTGTGTGAAATGTACTCTGATCACACTCACTCTGCTACCCTCTCTTGTCCCCTTCCCACTAATCCCCCACCAGGTCCTCTTCTACATCTTTGTTACATACACAGACATATACATGTATGTGTGTGTGTGTGTGTGTGTGTGTGTGTGTGTGTGTGTGTGTGTGTGTGATGTGCATATGTGTGAAGAGAGAGTCCTAACAAGTTTAGTTAGGTTTGCTTACATAAATGTATGAGGAGTTATTTACATGGGTACCTTACCAGGGGGTACACCACTGAAAAAAATGTCTCTCCTCTAGCAACCATTTACGGCCTACAGATCCTCAGGGAGGGATGGAGTCTCCTGGGTTCCTTCCCCCTCCATGACAGGGAAAGCTAGTTTCTTTTAAAAACAGCAACAACAACAAAAACAAGTCAAACTCTTTCTAGGAACTTCAGGAGAGTAGAATAGGCCCAACCAGATCTGGTGCCAAGCCAGGTTTTTGAGTAGAAGGTTGCTGCCCAGCCCACAGGAAGGGGAGGAGCTCCAAGCAGGATGAGTACATGTGGGCCCAGAATAGGTCTAAACACTGAATGTCTAGGAACGAACCGTGGCACTTGATATTCCTTGGTATCGTAGAGTAAAAGTAGACAGGCGAGAGATGACTCTAGAAGCAAGGGTGAGGACTAGTGGAGTATGGCCTGGCTTCATCTCTTATTATCTGACTAGGTAAATGCCTGGACCGCTTGGGCATCCTCCACAGAATCCAGATCATACATGGTAATACACACCCTGGAGGAATTTTCAAGGGGTTAATTAAGATGGTACATGTAACAAACACGACCACCTGGCACCCAACATATCTGTAACATACATGGGTTCTTAATATTTTATTAGTGTCCTAAGAAATTGAACTGTGCCCCTTTTTTGGCAAGGGGGCCTTGGTGGGGTTTAGGCAGGGTGGTAAGTTTTTTATTTATATATTTGTTGTGGTGCTGCTGCTGCTGCTATTTTTATTTTCTAGTATTGAACCTAGGGTTTCAAATGTGCTAGGCAAGCAACCTACCACCAAACTGTATCCCTGGCCCCTTTTTCATTTTTTAAAACAATATGAGACATGGTCTTTCTGAATTGCCCGGGCTGACCTTGAACTTGTAACCCACCTATGTGATTCCAAGCCTGCTTCACCAGGCAGAACAGATTTACATTCAGAAAGCCCTGTCTGGTTACAGGATAGAAGATTGGGGAAGGGAAGCTAGAAGGGGGTCTTGAATATGGGGCAGGAAGGTACAGAGCGGAGAGGAGGGGGCCTAATAATGAGAGACACTTGGGGTGTCGAGTATGAGAATGTGTGGCTTGGGTATGATGAATTGGATTTGGGCAAGGTGAGCCAGCCATGCTGGGACTTGGAGAGCCAGGGTAGGTACACACTGAAGAAGTGTGGCACCCAGAAGAGAAGTCAAGCTGGGGAGAGAGATTTAAAGTCATCATTGGAAGCTTGGGAGCTGTGCCACCCAGGGTTTCCTAATCAGAAGGCTCATGGCAAGCTCTTCCATTTTTACTGTATTTCCTAATTCTCAGGAAGCCCGGCACTGGGAAGTAATAACATATACATTTGAGGCAAGCATCACTCAGGTCCCATGCTTCCCTGCATTGTGATGGGCAAAGGAAAATGTGGGCCCAGCTGCGAGCCAGCAGGAGGTAGAGAAATGCCTGCTGTGGAGCCTTTCCAACTTCGCTGTTCTCAAAGCTGTGCTCCTGACACACTCAAACCCTGGAACTTCATGTTAGTCCATGCTTGTTTGTCCATCTTTATCCAAGCCACCCAGGGTTAGGAGAGCCCTTGGGAAGCACATATGCTTTCCTGGACCTCAGAACAGACCACTCGAGACAGAATAGGGCTCTTTCTTGTGGAAGCTAGTCAGTACCGTTTAGCAGCTATTTCTAAGCCTACTCTGGTTTGGGGTTTTGCCTTTCTCCTGCTGAGACCTGATAAGGAGCGTGCACACTGTTCACTGATAGCCAAAGCACAGGAACTGGCAACCAGTGGGATAGGAACCCATCCCTGCCTCACAGCAGCACTTATGGGGCTCATTTCCAGGTCAGATGGCCCTGAATATTTATCTCTGGCTTCATTGACAAGCAAATTAAGTCAATCAGCATGAGAGAAATGTATTTTAAAGAATTAAGACAATTGCTTGTTTAATTGTGGGGCTTAGAAAATAAAAAATGTGCAGAGAGACCCAGGGAACAGTGAATGTAGCAGCAATATCTTAAGACAGAGTTTCTTCTCTTTTCCCAAAGCCTTCAACTGATGGATAAGGCTCACCCATATGATGTGATTAACTCAAAGTCTACAAATATTATCTAGGAAATACTTCCATCAGAACATAGAAACTAGCATATGTTCAAATATCTGGGGGCCATGCCCTAGCCAAGTTGACATACAAAATTAACCATCGTACCCCTGAAGGTTGACTGAGATTCCATCCCTCTGCAAGGATCCCAGACACATTGGCTCTGCTTGGCCATGGGAGTTAGAAGTAGGCCAAGAGACTGCGGTTGGGAGGTACCAGACATCACCAAGCCCATTTGGACCAAGTGGCAAAACCAGAGAGAGTAGAACATGTCTAGAACACTAGAACACACACACACACACACACACACACACACACACACACACACACACACACACACACAAGCATGAGGACCTGCGTTCAATCCCCCAGCACCACAAAACCCTGGCATGGCCTCACCTGCCTATAATCCCAGTGCTGGAAAGGTGGAGACAAGAGCATCCCTGGAACTCACAGACTGGCCATTCTAGTTGAATTGGAAAGATCCAGGTCCAGTGAGAGACTCTGTCTCAGAAAGTAAGGTGGAGAGTGATTAAGGAAGACACCCCCATTGGCTTCTGGCCTCCATGCATATGTGTGTGTGTGCACACACAAAGTGATTATTCTATTCATGGAGTTTGTGTGCCTAATACTGATGAATAAACAGGGCTTAACTGCTCATAAACATTAGGCCCTGATTTAAAGCTGTATTTAGAAAATGCTAGCCTTGAATGATTATAAAGTAAAAGTGATCTAGATTCCAAAATAGAGGAGAGTCAAAAGTGAAATATCAGCAACAGATAAGAAATGAAGGAGCATTCTGACATAAAACGAGAAAGACAACAGCACATTCATCAAATCATACATAGGTGGTTCACTTTAGGATTCACTGTTACAAAGAGGCCCTTCCCTCTTGCCCAACAAAGAAAAGAAAAGCCCCAATAAACTCCTCGTGACCGACCTGAAGAGTCTTGTAACTCTGAGAGCATTTTCTCCTTGTACATTCATGGCTGTCCAGATAGTAGATCGAATGGCACACTTGGACTTCAGCCTCTGTGAAGACTGCCTAACTGCTGCTGGGCCACCTGCCGCCGGCTAGACTCTGACCCACATGCAGCTCAGCTGAGGACTGTGGGCAGTGAGCAGGAATCATTCCCAAAATAACTCAGACAGCATTTTCCTTAGATCCTGGCCCGTGATAACCCACCAGGAGGCATGGGAAGCCATAGTCAGGCAGCAGGCTCTGGCTCAGGGTGGTGGGAGACCAGGCTGCTGACAAGCAGGTGCAAGTGAACTCCCCTGATCCCCACCTCCCCAAGCTGTTCGGTTTGGACCCAGCTCTGGCCTGTAACAGGACTCTGCACACTTCCTATCCTTTTGGCCCAATTATTTCCAAGAAGGAGCTAACCACAGATTCATTAGAGTTAGCATCATTTTCTGAGGACAGAACTGTTAAAGATGATGCAGAAGGATTCTGAGGGAAATATCTCAGCTCATAAAGTGTTTGTTGCCCACGTCTGAGGACCCGCCAGGCATGGTGGTCTATAGCCGAGATACCACAGCTGGGGAGGCAAAGACAGGAAGATCTCTGGTGCTCAGTGGCCAGCTAGCATAGCCTAATTGATGAGGCCCCAGATCCCAGGAAGAGACCTTGTCTTACCACCAAAAAAAAGGGAAAGAAAAAATAAAGATGGCTCCTAAGGAATGACACGTAAGGCTAACCTCCACATGCGCACACACACACACACACACGCACACACGCACACACACACACACACACACACACACACACACACACACGGTACATGTGCCCACACATACATCCTATGTGGCATGGAAAGAAGCATTCCTATGAGCTCCAAAAGAGCGAAAGCTTCACTAAGATGTCTCCGGTTCCCAGACCATGCTCATCCCTCTTTTCCATTTGCTCCTTCACACATTTGTTTCGCTGATGTGTGCCTGGGGAAGGGGCAACTGGGGGCTGCTCGAAGTGGAAACCAAGTTCCCTTCAGCTCATCTCTGAGCCTCCTTTGAGCCCTCCAGGGAAGAGAGAGGGATACATCTGGGGATACAGGAGGAGGTTGCTGTGAGCTGGGATATCAGCCTGGCACGGACTCAGTCTAGTTCCTGGACTACAGGGACTTCTACAGGGAAGGAAAGCCTGGGCAGGATGGGCCTTGGTCTCAGCAAGCCCGGAGCTTCTTCCTTTCATGCCTGATGCCTCTTGAAGATGGCGTTCTGCAGTGATGGGCCCGTTTTATGTCCAGGGCAGTCCAGGTCCAGGTGGTGAAAGGTTTTCTCCTATAGCAGGTACCTTCTGGCCGGAAAGGTAGTTCAGGACTCTGAAGCCTGCCTTGCAGCTTTCTTGAGACCAATAACTTCTTTCAAAGATACCAAAGACCAACCTAGAATTGAATAGTTTAGGATGAAAAATGGAACAGTCAAATTCAGGAAAGGCTTAGAGCAGCAGGAAGCTTTCCCTGGCCTGAAGGAAAAGACAAGTGGATATAGAAGACAGTATTGGTGTGAGAGAAGGGGTGTGTGACAGAGAAGGGTGGTCTGTGTTGTGTGTGACCTTAGGGAGTTCCTGGCCACTCTGAAGGAGATTGTAAGCAGAGTGAGATGCAAGATAGGAAAGGTAGGAGGGAATTGGGAATTGGAAACCAGCAAGAGCTCCAATAAAACCACCTCTGGCCATGAATATAGAGTGGGCATGGTCCGGGGAGCCATAGGAACTTTCTAGAGCATGAGCCAAGCTGAGCTAAAGTTACTGGAGGTGGCAGTGTGTAGGGAGCTTGTCCATAAGGAAACCGGAAACCAGGACCAGCTAAGGGGCAAAAGCGAGAGCTTGGAGAAGCCCTGAAGGGCTAATATTGGTGAGGAGAGAGGAGTGAACCCAAGGGACATGCACTCAGGTTCCCAAGCTGTTGTGAATTCTAATGTTGCTGGGAGTGGGCTCAAAGGAGGAAAAACTTGAGAGACAGGTAGAGAGTGGACCAAGAGGGCGCTAGGAAGGAAGTAGAATGTCGAAGGTACTATATATAGGATGTGGGGCTTTGGCGTGTGTGAGCTTAAGGACAATTCATCTCGGGAACTAAACAGCCTAGAAGGACAGCAGCCACCCCGCCCCCCATAAGCTTCAACTCCCTGGGGGTAGGATGAAGCTTCCAGGGAAAGCAGCAAGGGACGCTGTGGCCAAGCACAAAAAGCCCTTTTGAAGAAATCTGTTTGCCTGTGTTTCAGGATTGCCGGTGACACCGCCCTCAGCAAAAACATTCATGAATCTGTCAGCGCCCAGATCCGGAAGAATTTTGCAAAGAGCAAATGGAGAGTAAGTCCTAAGTGTGTCTGTTTCCACGCTTGCCAAATTCTCAGGGGATTTAAACCATTCTGGAGAAAGTGATTCTCCAATTTGAGCATGTTGTGTTTCTAAGTGACCCATGAGGGTTTGGACAGAAATCCCTAGAGCCTTACTCAATAAATTTTGCTAATTTTAATTTATTCTTCTAAAAATGTATTATTTTATTTTATGTGTGTGGGTGTTGGCCCACATGTATGTCTGTGCACACACAGTTGTGAGCCTCCATGTGGGTGCTGGAAATGGAACTGGGGTCCTCTGACAGAGCAGCTGGTGCTCCTAACCACTGAGCCAGCTCCCTAGCACCATAAATTTAAGTGATTCTTGATTATGGGATATCACAGTGTAGGAAGGATTGTTTCTCACCTGTGGCTTAAAGAGAGCAACTGTGCCGGACACAGCTCACTTGTTTGTTATTCCTCAAGCAGAACAACCCTCCCTGTCTCCCTTCACTTTGCCAGACTTTGAATAGTCACCTTCTATTAAAGTGACGGAAAGGAGAAAGGGGGAACATAAAAGCCTAATTGAGCTCATCAATGTTTCCTGGTTAAAAAAAAAAAAAAAAAATTGATGAATTTAAACCATCACAATTTCATGATCATGTATTGATTGCCTGAACTCTGTATTCTAATAGGCATCAGTAATTAAAAGCTGGCTGTCTTGCTGTGAGAGCCAACAAAAACAAAATTAGCTCTATTGAGCCAAGCACAGTAGTGCATGCCTTTCCCCTCAGCACTCAGGACGGGGTCTGGGGAGAGGGAAAGGCCAGTCTCTGTGGCTGTGAGCAGCCTGGCCTACATAGTAAGTTCCAGGCCAGCTAGGACTGCCCAGTGAGACACTGGTTCAAAAAGAAAAAAGAAGAAAATTGAAGATTCCGTTAACCAACTGTTTTATTGGAAATAATGCCATCACTTAGAACAACAGTATCAATGATAGAACCAGCCCTAGTGGTGCAGGCCTGTAATTCCAGGTACTCAGGAGGCTGAGACAGGAGGATTACAAATTCAAGGCCAGCTTGGACAGCTTAATAAAAGCCTCACAAAATTAAAAAGTAAAAAGAGTTGGTAGAATACCTGCTTAGCATATGCACAGCTCTAGATTCAGTCCCAATACTGCCAAAAAAGAAAAAAAAAAAGGTACCAATTATAGAAAAATAAACACTACCTTAAAATATCATGTATTAAGACATATTATTATATGTGTTTTTTATTCTAAGAGTCACTTTTTGTAAATTATGTGGAGTATTGTTTGGAAATTATTCATGCCAGAAGCAAGTGAATGGGGCAGAGAGCTAAATAAATGTGTGCACTTTTGAAAAGAATGATAGAAACTTTCTTTCTAAAGTGCCCTGAGAGTATCAGAGAAAATTTGTAGCACTTACAGTTTCTGGATAAGTGAAAGGAAGCAGTCTCGGAGTGTTTTCCAACTACCTGAAATAATTGTTCTCCTCCTCACCACCTTTTTGTCCTTCTCCCTACATTTCAGCAAGCGTTCAATGCCACAGCCGTCGTGAGACATATGCGAAGGCTACAGCTCGGCAGCAGCCTGGACAGTTCAAATGCAAGTGTCTCAAGCAACCTCAGTTTGGCGAGCCAAAAAGATTGTGCGTATGTAGCAAAACCAGAATTCTTCAGCGGGCATTTCAGATGAGTCCGGGTTGGGCAGGAGAGCTGAGCACGGACGGTTTGCCCTGCGATGTTCTAACCCATTTAATGTTCGTGATTACCGTAGAACATTATTCAACATTTAATACCCGCTCTATGTGATAATCATTTCCACTTGTAGATAAGAAATCCATGGCATAAGTACCGCGCGACCAAAGATAAGGCCCGGGCACTTCTTGGTCTCTCTCCTTCCTCTGACTTGCCTCTTACTGTCCAGTTTCCCTCTGGACTGATGAGGGAATGGTAGAGTCCTCATGGCCTGGTTTCACTAGTTTCTAAAGTCTGGGTTTCATTGTTTTTGTTGTTGTTTTTATGAGAATGATGATATTTGAACTTATTTATATGCGCCAACCTGGCTTTGCGATAAAAGCAACAGTGATGGTATTGCATTGGCCTTCATCTTTATAAAGAATGTGATATCCTTGAAGGCACACTTCAATTCTCTCCCACTCCCCATCTTTATATGTATATTAATCTCCCACTAGAGCATGCCAATGGTTCTCTACTCCAAAACCATTGCCTTGAAGGTTCCCATCAGCCCTCATCCCCTTAACCATCAGGCATCATGTGCCTTCCTATTTGACTTAGTAAAAGGATTCCTTTCTTTGTGAAAGAGCCATCTCATGGCTGAATACAGAGCACACACCTATAATCCCAGCACTCTGAAGGTGAAAGATTCCAAGTTCAAGGCCAGCCTGAGCTACACAGTAAAACCATCTCAAAAAAGCAGAAGCTTAGGATGTAGCTCAGTGGTAGAGCATTTGCCTAGTAGGAAACCAAGTTAAGAAGACCCTGGGTTTGACCCCCTAGCATCTTCCCCCTCCCCAAAGGAGTCATCCTAATCTTGTTATTCATTCTCAACTCATACACAGTTCTTAAATTTTCTTATGGAATCTCCATGGGCTTTTCTGACACAATTGCACACCTCTAGATTAGTTATCCTCATCAGCATAGACCCTTCTCACCACCCTTAACCAGAAGAAATATCACAGCTGACCGCTCATTTCTTTAAAGATTTGTACAACAGCACCAGCAGCTTATTTTAATACTTTATTTTATGGTTCTCCCTATGTCCAAATGTATGAAGTGGCTAGGGATGTCCGTTCCAAAGCTGTACCATAGCTGCTGCATCAACAGTGCCTTCCAAGATCTTACAAGTCAGTTTTCTGTTATTGTGACAGACTATGAGAGAAACATGTTACAGGAGGCAAGTGTTACTTCGCCTCACAATCTCAGTCCTTTCTGTCAATGGTTACTCATGGCAGCCAGGAACAAGGGAGACAGAGGACAGAGGGCTGGGAGAATGATAATGTCCTTCAATGACCTACTTCCTCCAGCTAGGTCCCACATCCCAATAGTCAATCCAACTTTGAATTCATCAATGGATGAAACCCCTGATGAATATAGGACGTTCATGGTCTACTCACCACACAACACTGCTACAGGGCCAAACTGTCTACCGTAAGCCTTTGGGAAGATTCGGTGGGAGTCATGAACATCCTCATTTCAGAGACCTGTGATTCAATATGCTTCCTGAAATGTAAATTTGGACCTGAAGTGGGGTGCAGGTCCTTTTTTCATTCTAAAAATGCCTACTTCTGCTGTTGTAAGAAGTGATCTGCTCTTCTCGGCTGGTCAAGTGCTTTGTCATGCACTGAGCCCTCAGAACCACAGAAAACAGCCAGGTGTGGGGTGGCATGTGCTCCTCATCCCAGCATAGGGGAGTGGAGACAAGACTATCTCAGGCTTGTGGGCCAGCCTGCCTAACCAGCTCAGCAAACTGTCCCCCAAACAGACAAAACAAACAGAAAAGCAAGGTGGAGAGTAGCTAACATATCTATCTGAGGCTGACCTCTGGCCGCCACACACATGTGCACATGTGTTATCCACACACACACACACACACACACACACACACACACACACACACACGTGACACAGAGAGACACAAATTAAAATAATGAAAAACAAATTAAAGAAACGAACATTCTAGTAATGATGGTATATAATCCACGCCCATCCCAGTGCCTAGTATATAGAAAGGAGTAGATTATCCTAGTATGTAACATACAGTATATAGAAAGTGCTAAATAAATGGGGCCTCAGATATCCTATGTCATGATGGGCATACCATATCATTTTCAAAGACAAAGCAATTACAATTATAAAGAAAAAAGGACCTCAAAGTTGGACCAGAGAATAAAGCAAATTGAACACATGGCAGAGATTTTCCTATAGGGCGATGAAAGGGCAGGGTCTGGTGGTATAGCTCAGGGTAAAGGGTAGAGGGCTTGCCTCGCAGCTACATACAAGTTTCATCCACCTAGCCCAGCACATTTGACTGTCTTTCTGGGAAAGGGCATGTGAAGCTAATTCTAAACACCCATGTCTGTTGTCCCTGGCAGGTCTGGCACCTTCCACGCTCTGTAGTTTCCTTTCTTCTTCGTCGGGGGTCACAGGAGTCGGAGCTGAGAGGAGACCCAGGCCCACCACTGTGACGACAGGGCACACTGGAAGCAAGTGACCCGGCTCTGGAGGTGGGACCCAGGGGGCGGAGCCGGGGAAAGGGAAGCCCCAGGCCGGAGCAGCTCCAGCATCGGAGACCCCACCCACCCTGCATGGTGCGCCTGCATAGGACTGGAAGACAGAAGTTTTTTTATGGCCATATTTTATACTGCAATTCTGATGTGTTCATTTCTCACAAACTGTACTGACTCAAGGGGAGCTGACTTCACAGGATTTGGTGCTGTATATAGGAATCTTGCAAAGCTCTAACTGAATGGACCTTCTTGCTCCCCTCCCCCAACTCCACCACTTCCGCTCTCAGTGTAGGAAGCCATCTAGGGTGTATTTTTTCATGAAAAAAAAAAAAAGGTTTCAACTGGATTATTTAAATATTGGTAGATGTTGTGCATTAGGATTTTTTTCTTTTTGAGACGTGTCTTTTTTGATCTCTTGTCAGTTACATGACCTCTCTCATTCGCTCCTTTAATGGTGGCTCTACGTTACCTTTAAGAGATTTTTTTTCCCTCCAGGAGGAGTTAAAAGGTATTTTTTAAAATTCTAAGAGGATCAAGAATCCGTCTCCAAGGCTGAGTGCACTTTACCTGTGTTCCCTGGCCCTAGGGAGGTCACCCCACCCCTGGGCTGGGCAGGCTTCTCTCCAGGTGGCTTTTGGCAAGGAACCTGCAGAAAACCTTACCAGCAGCTTTCCCTGAGAACCCCTAACTAACCACAGAAGAGATAACCTTGTTTCTGCCCTAAACTCCAGGCTCCACATTACAGGTGAACTGCGCTCTAGGAACAAGATCCTCGCAGGGCCAAGGCATAGGAGCCTCCCTTAGAGGCGGGACTAGCCACCATCTTGTTTTTTAAATGAACCACACAGATCCCTCATTTCTCATGGGGGATGATGGATGAAACTCTGTTCTCAGCTATGCACTTTCAAAACGACTCTCTCTGTTTTAGTTTTTTAAATTCATTTCTAATGCTACCCTTCAAATGGCCTATAGCACACACTTTTCCCCCCTCCACAATTTTACCCTATTCTCTCATGAACATTAACCAAGGGAGGGGACAGAAAAGGCCTTGAAGAAGAAACCTTTTTGTTAGGTGAGAAGGAAAGGCACCAGGTGAGCAGGATATGGCCCACCTCAGAGATGGCTGACTCAGCAAGGTCCAGCTGGTACATAAGCCTTCCCTTACATCAGAGGGATCTAAAATGAAAAGTAGCTGGGGTGGTCAGGGCATTGTATGCCCTGGTTTGCCAGGGACTGAAGAATTTCCCCAGATATGGAACTTGAAGGCTAAAATCAGGACTGTCCTATGAAAACCAGTCCATGTCATTGACCTGTACAGTGGTTAGATATACAAGAAGAGCAGGCACAGAGCATAGACCAGGGCAGACATTCTCCAAGGAGGCTCTCAGACCTAGGCAGGTAGCTCAAATGCCAGTTTTGCCCACGTTCCCCTTCAGCTCTCACGTCTGTTTAAAGCCTGAGCCTCAGCAGCAGTCAGCTGCAGCCAACCGAGATGGGCTGTGATAGTGTCCCTGATGGCCCAGGCACAGTCCTGAGGTGGTTGTCCTCATGCCCCTCTCAGCCCTGCTAGACAAGTAAGTCATCCTTGTCACTTGTACACTTTCACCTCTAGCCCTCCCCAGTGCACATGGTGCACATACACATACACACACACACACACACACACACACACACACACACATAGTATCACTAGGGAAGCAGCTCTAGTCCCCCAAAGAACCCAGTGAAAGATACCTAAGAGCAGTTCCAAAGTCAGACATCTGGTATACCTGCTCCTACTTGCATCATAAGCTCCCAGTTTCAAAGTCAGACATCTGGTCTACCTGTTCCCACTTGCATTATAAGCTCCCAAATGCTTAGTGAGAATCCTGCCACACAAGCCCAAAGAAGAGTAGCAGTTTGAAGCTGTCATTTCAAAATCTATATATCTCTTGGGAAGAGTTTCTAAGATGACAACAGACCCAGATGGAAAGCAGATGCCACTGAGTATGGAGACTTACCCACCTACTCCACCCTTCAGAAAGGCAATGAAATAAATATTACAAACAGTGTTTAAGAAAGCCCAGAAATGTTTCTAAAGAAGTTTATAGGATATTTCCTACCAACAAGTATCATGGGAATATCCAAGTTCATATAATAATAAAAAAAAAAATACAGGTGTGCTTGATGGGCTATAATTATAACACTTGGGAGGCTGAGGCAGAAGGATCTCAGTTTCTATGCATTCTGAGCTAATTAGTAAATCCTTATCTCAAAAAGAAAGAAAGGAGGAAGGGATGGAGGAAGGAAGGAGGTAGGCAGGTTGGTTGCTGCAGTATGTAATTTTACCTGAGTTTGACCTTTCATGTGTTAGCCCTTTATGCTGTATGGTACACGTAACTATTTGCACCTACAAAGTAACATTATTATTAGTGATGAAAGGACTTCATATAGCTGGTATATGGGTACATGAACTACATATAAATATATATGAACTACAAATAAACACAGAACAGTTGAAGAGTGAACCCTGGTAGAGGTGTCTACCTTGCAATCAACTATGCTTGATTCAACCTTGACACATCGGGTCTCCATGAGCTGGTGTAAAGAAGATGCTCGCGAGTGCCAGCCCAGTAGAAGATAAGGCTGAACATGTCTTCAGGAAGCACATACATGATGTCACTAACTTGGGTTATTTCCTACTATTTTAAGAAAGGTGAAAACATGTACCACCCAAGTCTTCTACTCTGAGAAAGTCAGGATGGGTGAAAGATGAAGTTTCACTTCCAGTTGGTATTGTTGTAGAATAATGTATCAGACCATAGAATGGACTTAGTCTTAAGAGCTGGAAAATGGGGTGGCAACATCTTGGCTCTCTCACTCTTGTTAGATTCCGCTGACATAGTCTGAGAATTTCATGCACATACCAGTATGCTTGGCAGCATCCTGTGGACACACAGGCCTCTCCCTCTCAGATTATTTTCCTAATATCAAGCTCTTACCAGCCCCACCCCCCACTATAGCCTCTTCACATTTTCGGAGCAAGTGGATATTTATTTCTTTACTTGGTTATGAAATTTTGAAATATTTCCAGAATATTCTTTCCCTCTGCTTCCTGCCTGTCCCTCCCTCTTTTCCTGGCCTTCACCCATACTTGAGGCAGAAAGCGCAGCTAACCCTCATCTAAAACCAACAGGGAATTGGAGGGGAGCACCTTCAGCTCCAAGGCCAATAGCTTGTCATTCCTAATCACGGAATCTGTAGAGTTTGGAGCTTCGTGTGGGGGTTAGGGAGGGACAAAGGCAGTTTTAAGCTGGAGGGACAGGGTCTGCCACAAAACTCTTGAGGAAATGGGAGCTGCCCAGTGACTGATGCAGCAACCCCAGTGTCACAGGCCTTTGTAAGAAGTCTGGCTGCTTTTTACCCCTTCCTACTGCCTCTAACCCCAAAGGGACTCTGACTCCAGAAAAATCAGCTACCATTCACCTCTCTGTGTGAAAGAAAAGAACTCTGGAGAAGGCATTGAAACAAACCAAAAAGTATGGATTCCTGCCCTTGACCTTGATTCTGGGTCACTTCTAAAATGCCACCTTGAGTCTCCAGCCATACCACTTCGACTGTGCCCAATGTCATCTAAGACGCCTCCTTAAGAAGACAGCCACAGCCAGGCGGTGGTGGCGCACGCCTTTAATCCCAGCACTTGGGAGGCAGAGCCAGGCGGATCTCTGTGAGTTCGAGGCCAGCCTGGGCTACCAAGTGAGTCCCAGGAAAGGCGCAAAGCTACACAGAGAAACCCTGTCTCGAAAAACCAAAAAAAAAAAAAAAAAAAAAAAAAAAAAGGAAGACAGCCACATCCATTTGCACATTGTGGTTTTGAGAGACTTCCAAGCTTCAGAAATCTCTGAGTGTGGTATTTGAGGATCATGGCAGTTGGCTCAGTGAATCCCAGACACTGTTTACCTTCTTAACCTTTTTGTGTCTACACCGCAATGCCCAGCTTGGGCTGGATAGCTTGTAGATGGCAGAGGGAACTGGTCTTTACACCACAGGCCAAGAACAGTGTGGACACTGGAGAAGGAGCCAGCTGGTCCCCTCTTGAGAGGTTGATCTCCCATGGGATGCAAAACGTGGTATGGTCAGCACTTGGGTTTAATGTGTTATGAGCATGTTTAAACAGTAGGGAAAGCCCACCCAGTGGAAATGACTGGGATTTTAGAGCTCTAGGTATCCCTTTGGCCTACTCAGAGTTATGGCCAGAACTGACATTTCACGCTGGGGAAACCATCCTGGTGCCATTATTCCAGACTGTGTGCAGGCAGGAAACCTGGGGCCAGCAGCACCTCTTCCTTGCAAGATTTGCGCAAGGGTTGTGCTGGGTTTTCCTAGGCCAAGAGGAAGGAAGGTGAGGGCCGGTGAAGGACAGCTCCTTCCATTTTTCATAAAGAGAAATCGGGTTTTCCAGGTTTGCACAATCACTCCCAGCAAGTGAGATATGGGCCCCGCTTGCATGTCCTACAGAACCAGTGTTAGGTCCCCATCCCTTCTCTTCACATTCCAACAACTGCCTTTCCCTTGAAGACATTCCAGACCAAACACTGTTCAGTTTGTTTCCAAAATTAAAAACCAATGTATATATCTGTATGTACTCCACCTCTCTTTAAGGGGTTACCTGGTCCTAGGTTGGAGCTGCAAGCAGAAAAGGTATTCCAATCCTTCAATTTTCAGAATTGAAAGTTTTGAGGTGGTTTTTTTGTTTGTTTTTTAAGCCACGCTGGGGAAGCAGATTTTTGAAAGGCAAACTTACTTCCTGCTACCTCTACAAAGATTTGTGTGCAAGTGAGTTAGTTCGAAAACTTCAACCCTGGGTAGCAGGCAGGTCTAAGGAAGAGAGGAGAAGGAAAGGCCATACCCCATCCACCAGGTCCCTTCTTGGTGGTCTCAGTGCATCACGGTCTGCCTGCTGCTCTGGTGTGTGCACTGGAGCCCAGCTGTGAAGTCGGCCCTGCATGCTGGCCACAGCCTGGCCTGCCTTCTGCCAGCAGCCAAAGTCTTCACAATCAGCAGGGAGGACTGCGCCCTGTGTCTCCTTCCCTGTGAACTCCAGTGGGAGCAGCTCAGCTTGCGGCTTTACGGGTTCCACTCTTGCAAACCCAAAGGCTGTCTGCGCATTTGGAAGCCAAACATTCAGTTCAGCATGTGGCTGCCGTGGCTGGTTTCGTGGACAAAAGCAAGCTGTGGAATGGCTTCTCTGTGTCTGTGTTTTTCTAAGCCAAAGGGATAAACAGTTGCATCGACCCCTTGTATTAAAGCCGCTTCTGCATCCTCCATACCCGCTTTTAACCTTCTTTGTCTCTGGGGAGTTTGTTACATAATTACCGTGTCCTCTGATGATTTTCCAAACTATGTTACTTATAGGTGATTTTATTTTCCTTATGGGTGGGAAAAATGGAAAAGCTGAGACATGTTTGAGGCTTTAGTCAAAGACATCACTCAAAAGTCCCAAACACTAGTTAACTTGCTTCTCAATTGGGAAAAAAAAAAAAAATCTTAGTTTGAACAGACAAGGATTCTGAGGCCCTCCTGGATAACCCTGCACTTTGGAAAACCAAGCCCGGGGAGGGCAGAGCTGGCAGTCGGGCTACAAAAGAGACAAAGAAGGGGCTAGAACATCAGCTCAGGTGTTTGTCCCACACTGCGGAAGCTGTGGTTCTCCTTACAAGGTACTTGGCCACTTTCAGGCAATGTAAGGCGGTGTCCAGTATCACAGCAGTATCTTCAGTTTGAGAGACTGCATGTTTCAGAGAACATTTACCTTAGTCCCACATTCAGGTGAGAAGACACCAAAGGTACATTCTTTCCAGAACATCCATTGGAACAATGTCTAAATTGGCTTCTGTGGCTATCTGTGATGTAATTGGCCTTCATCAAGCTCTCTCCCGACATGTTTTCCCAACAGCTTCCACCGTCAAACCCAGGATCGATCGGCCCCACTCACTATGACCAGGCTTGCAATTGGTTTGATTTTTTTTCATACATGCTTGTCCAAAAAAAATTTTAAAAAGTAAAAGAAGGGAAACTGTGCATTTATCCCATGCATGTAATAAACTCTGCAAGAAGTTTAACCCCCATAGGTTCGCGGCACTGCAAAATTGTTCATGGGTCTATGTAGCAAACGATTCTCTGCCTTGACAATCATGTATACATATCGATTTCTATCATAATGATAATGAGATTGATGACTTCTTGTTTTCCTCCAATAAAGAGAATTAATCACCTTTGGATGTAGATGGTCTGTTCCTATATCATGAATGGGATATTGCATTTCAACATCTCTCCCTTTTTTTTTCTCTGATTTGGGCTTAGTTATTTATTTGTCAGTTGATAAATATGATGTCAGGCAATGATGTGGATGGTTTGTTAAGCAAACCCTCTGTACCTCTGAGCTATACCCCCAGCCCTTTAAGTTTAGATTTAAGGGAAAGAGTCTGGGTTGAGAGCCTGAAAGCTCATGAGAACATAGAGATGTTTCCCATCACTTGCTCAACAAGAATTGGAAGGAAGTAGCCATGAGGTGGAGAGGTAGGTTGCCAGGTTCAATGTTATCTAGACAAGAAGGCTCCCTCCCTTCCTCCTAACCTTCCTCCTCCTCCTCCTCTTCTTCTTCTTGCTGTGGAAGCTGGCTGGAGGGTTGCCAGGAACTCAGGTCATCTCAATTAGGTATTCATAAAATGTCTGGCAGAAAAGTCAACATTGATTTCCAGGAAGCCCTTCTGAGCAGAGGTGGTTTTGGCAGTGCCAGGCTTGAGCAATCAGTCCACGTTCTTCTAGATCCTCAGCCCAGCTTGTCATTATCAATGCCCAAAGGAAGAGTCTTGCCCCAACAGAAGGCTGCTGATGGCTGTTTTATTGGGATGGGAGTGTCTTTGTTTTTTAGAAAACCGTTTGAACAGAAACATTGTTTCATAGCCCATTGCATATATTATGGCAATCAGATCTGACATCAGACAAGTCTTCTAATCCAGTGGTTCTCAACCTAAGGGTCTCAACCCCTTGGGTCAAATGACCCTTCCACAGGGGTCACAGGGGTCACATATCAGATATTCTGTATATCAGTTATTTACATTATGATTCATGACAGTAGCAAAATTATAGTTACAAATTAGCAATGAAAATAATTTTGTGGTTGTTGTCACCACAACACGAGAAGCCATATTAAAGTATGCAGCATTAGGAAGGTTGAGAACCACTGCTCTAATCCAAAGAGTAAGTGGTTTTGTAGAGCTAGAAGAAATGAATTGAACATGTGTTATAAAAATACAGAATTGTTCGGGAGGCAGAGCCAGGCGGATCTCTGTGAGTTCGAGGCCAGTCTGGGCTACCAAGTGAGTTCCAGGAGAGGCGCAAAGCTACACAGAGAAACCCTGTCTCGAAAAACCAAAAAAAAAAAAAAAAAAAAAAAAAAAAAATACAGAATTGTGGGACTGGGGAGATGGCTCAGAGTTAAGTTAAGAGCACTCGTTACTCTTGTAGAGGACATAGTTTGGTTCTCAACACCCACAGGGCAGTGCAAGGCCCTCTATTCCTCTAGTTCCAAGGGATCTAGAAGTACAAGGATGTACATGCAGACAAACACCATACACATAAAATAAATATTGAATAAAGATGAATGCAGAATTAAAATTGCCCTACACAGCTAGGACCACATGAAGATACCATGAGCCTTAGTGAGAAAAAAGCTCTGAGCCAAGAAGACAGAGAGAGTGCACTGCTGCATGGCCCTCTCCAGTTTGTTCTCACTTCCTTTGGCCCTGATGAAGGGATCTATAAATGCAAAGGAACCTTTGTGAGTGAGAAGGTGGGGATACAGCTAAAGAAAACTATGGGACAAAGGAAATTTGACATATTACAGTCTTTGTTGCTGCTGTTGTTTTTGTTTGTTCATTGTTGTTTGAGACAGGGTCTCACTATGTAGCCCTGGCTGGCCTGGAACTCTCTCCATAGACCAGGCTGACCTCAAACACAGAGATCCACCTGTCTCTGCCTCCTGAGTGCTAGGATTAAAGGTGTGAAGAGTATACTATTTTTTGAAGGACTTATTATACATATATATATATATTATTGTTGCATAATATATTATATATTATTATATAATTATTATATATAATACTTATTTACTATTGACTTGTTTGTGTTCATGTGCACATGCAACGCCATGCATGTGTGGAGGTCAAAGGACATCTTGCAGCAGTCACTTCACTCCTACCACGTGGGGCATGGGGGTCAAACTCAAGTCACCAAGCTGGGTGGTAGGCACTTTTACCCACTGAGCCGTCTCGCCAGTTCAAGGAGTTTTAAAGACAGGGCTCATGACCAACTGTCACTCAAATCCAGTGCAGCGAATGGATAGGAATATACAACTGACCGCTATGGAAGGCCAGTATTTACTTAACTTTTGGAGTTGCAATGTTCAAGCTCCAACTCCTGCTTTTTCACTCCAGCCTTGTTGATCAGCAATCCAACACCTCTCTTCTCCAGAGCCAAGCTTCCTGTGACCCCAGAGAGGTTCAGCTCCTACAAAAATTCACATCAAATTTTCCTATTTAGTTTTTTTTTTCCTTCAGGTGAATGTCAGGCCTGTGAATTCTTACATGAATACAAACATATTTAAGAGCTGATTTTAAAAACAAACACAAGAAATGAACCAAAAGCCCCTACAGAGTTACAGGATTGCCCATGCAGAAGGAACCATGCTGTAATGGCAAGAAGTGGATACAAAGAGTGTGTCCCAAAGCCTCCTGGCTTTCTCTGCTCCCCAGGGGGATCATGGCTATAGCAAATACTCTGTTTCATGGCCAATGATTGCTAAAAATCAATGCCCTAAACTGACTTTCGGGTTGAACCATTTTTACTGGGTTGTTGTGGTCTTCGTGACAAAGAATATACTTTGTCTGCCCAGAGATCTCCAACAAGATCTAGCAAGCCTCATCATCTTACATATTTCAACAACAACAAAAAAAGAGTTCATATCTCAAAAGGAATAAGAGATAGTTTGACCTAGAACCAAATATATATGAGTGACCATGGCCAGAAATACAGATTTAGGTTACTCCAAATACTGTGTTCCAATATGATAACAGTTTCATGAGGCTTTTATAGTAACAGAACAGAGTTATAAATCTGAGCCCTTTAAAAATACACGGGTGGAACCATCAGGTCAGTGGGTTACAGCAAAATGAGAAACACGTTATATGTATCAGATGCTCCCCTGGTGACATTCTTAGCCTTTGGGTTGGTGGAATTTAGGGTTTTGTTTGTACATTCCAGTGGACACAATGATAGATATCAGGTCAAACATAGAAGTGGCCAATAATGTCTATTAAAAGGATTAAAGGTTACCCACCATAATTTGGTGATGGGCCTGCAACATTCCAACTCTTCATAATCATGGAATATTAGTCAATGAGACTTTAGAATTTCTAACACAGATTCACATTTTTTTTTTTGCCCTGAGAACTTCAGTTCACACATACTTGGAAAACTTGTGAGCACACCAAGAATGTACATTGCCTAGCATTAGAGGCACACACACAGAGAGAGAGACAGAGAGAGATAGGGAGGAGAGAATATTAATGAATCATGTAATGGCTTCCAACCAAGGAAGTAATGGAGACAGCGCATGCATCTTGACTTGAGACAAGGTATTGGCTCGAGTGAGTCCAGTGGACCTTGATGCATTAGGCCATAGGTGAGCTGTGGATCAAGATTTACAGAATCTAGCCTGGTTCCAGGGAGGGTTTGGGGTTGGGATCACCTAGCCTCTTTTGTTCAAGACATGAGAGTTGAAGAGGGCATTAGCCTTCACAAGGCTGTCACCGAGGAGCTGCTACACAGAAAAACACTTTATACCTCTCATTTGGCATCATACTGTTCAAAAATAGCCAGACCTCCTCCTCTCAATTTACTGACAGAAAACTCAAGGAAACTAGCCTTTCGCTCAGGTCTCTTGGCAGCCGGGAAATTGGGTGTAGGAACACTCAGAACCCACACTACTCCGTGACCTATTTCCTCTCTATGGCCCCTCAGTGCTTTGTGGATAAATCCTGTCCCGAGCTTTCTTTCATTTGTACATGTGTGCATTCACAATTTTTGAGCACCTACTGTATTCAAGGGACTCCTGTTGTCAGCACGATCCTCCAAGCAGAACAACCCCCATCTTTATAAAAATCAGCACTGTGTACTTACAGAAGGTCATCACAGGTGGGTTTGTTGACTATTAGCATTCCCTAATATAAAGAGAGCATGGGGATAGTCATTGGACCTGATTATCCAGCCACTCCTTGTAGCCAGCTGTACGCACTTCTGTCCTAATTGTGTGTGGCTTTGCGGTCTTGGGGAGGGGCTAGCCTGTCCTGAGAGGAACTGCACGGATTATGAGCTCATCTAAATGTGGTTGCACGGGCAACTCGGACTCCTTCCAGGGAGATGTCATGGACCAGAAAAGAAAGGCATCTTTAATCCACAGGTCAGTGCCTGTTTGCCTCCTGCCTCTTAGTTTCTTCCTCCTGCTCCATAGTCTGCCTGCCCCTCCCTCCCTCCCTCCCTCCCTCCCTAAGATTGATTTGTATTTTGTATGTTTACTTGCACCCGTGGAGACCAGAAGATGGAAGTAGAATTATAGGTGGTGTGAGCTGCCATGGGGGGCTGGAAACTGATCCCAGTCCTCTGTAGGAGCAGCAAGTGTGCTTAACCATTGAGCCATCTCTCCAGCCCCTCTTTCTTCTTTTAAGAAGGTGTGTGTATGTGTGTGTGTGTATGAGAGAGAGAGAGACAGAGACAGACAGACAGACAGACAGACAGATGGAGAGAGAGAGAGAGATCCTTTGAGCTGGAGTTACAGGCAGTTATGAAAAGAGGGAATCTGACCCCTTGAGCTGGAGTTACAGGCAGATGTGGGTGCTGAGAACCAAACTCGGTTCTCTGCAGGAACAGTACATGCTCTTAACCTCTGAGCCATCTCCCTTTCCTCCCCCACAATCTTTCTTTTGCTTCAGCATTATTCATTTTTTCTTCTTTTTTTTCCTCTCTCTCTCTCTCTTTTTGAAATCCTAGGGATTGGCTCTAGAGCCTCACACATCACACATGCTAAGCAAGTACTCTACACACAGCTATATCCTTGGACTCCTGTTTTTTATTTTAAGATGGAATCTCACTAAGATACCCAGACTGTCCTTGAACTTACTCTGTAGACCTGGCTGAACTTGAAATTGCCATCCTC